AAACAACTACACATTCAGAAGTCAACTTCCTTACTAAAGGGTTTCAATCAAACTATTAAAAAACCACAATATTTATCCATAAAATGAGATATTTTAGTTTCTAAAACATCATTTATTCTCCTTTAACTTTTATGTATATTAGCAAACACATGTATCTTCATTATATGCCTAACAACTTCAACAACATAAACAACTACAGCATCATATAACTATACAACCTCATTATTATAACAACTTACAACTTAACAACTTATATATCATCATATAATATATCAACTTACAACATACCGATTCATCATCATACTTTATCATCCATACAATTTATTCATCATCATTCAACTATAAAATAACTTAAAACAACAAATTTTTATCATTCAACTCGTACTTGGTGCCACTTAGAGGAAGCTTGATGCCATTGAGGCGAAGGGTTTCCTATCTTGCTCATGCCCGACACCAAACTACCCACGTCCAATATGATTAAGGTAAAGAGTCTCCCATTCTCTCGCGCTTGGTGTGGCAAAAGTTCATGCCTAACGCCCTATAGGCTTGCTCGGCGCAATATCAATTTTGTACTTATGCAGAACCTAATTGTGAACCTAAACCACCTAAGACTCAGCCAAAACTCGCATGCAACCAATTATACAACAAATTCTCAGCATTTCAAGCTCATTTTCAACAACAGAAATAACAAGCATCCATCATTGATAAAAAAAATTAACATATTCAACTCATAATAACTTTAAGAGAAGCCAACGACACTGGTACTCATGATTTCTTCTCCAATCAATTAAGAAATCAACATAAGATAAAATCCACAACAACAATCAACATGCAATTCTAACAATCAACACAAATTTTCCTTACCACTTGGAGAATCGAATCAACAAAAAGGGAAAAGAAGAACCAACTTCGTACAACTCTGACCTTTTGTTCTTGGCTTCACAACTTTGAATCTCCAACTCAACTGAGCTTGATCAGCTACAAGGAGAAGAAGAGAAGGGTTTTTAGTGAAGAAAAGTAGAGAAGGTTCTCTTGAGCTATAGAGAATTTCTTACTAGCTTCTCTCTAAATTTTTCTTAAAATTGAACTTATGAGACTCACATTTTAAGAAAATTTTATATACCATATCCTAAGTTGAATTAATTCAACTAAGCCTAAGACTCTCTCTCTCTTTCAGAGATAACCTAACTCTTAGAGTCCCTTGACTCTAAAGTTCTAAAGCAACAACTAACAATTTGATAACACAAATCATATAATTAACACACCAGGAGTGAAACCAAAACGGGTCGTTTCAGTTTCAGAACGGACCGTTCTGGTTCCAGAATGTCACACATACAATTAATGATTATATTCGTAAATTTTTTATTGTGATGATAATACTTATTCATATATTTTTAATATTAAAAATTTTATATATAATTTTTTAAAGTATAAATATATATTATAGTTATTTTTTTACAAGTTTTTATATCTACAATTATGATTAAGGATGAAAATAAACTAGGTCAGATTATGTTATATTATAATTTAACAGATTTAAACTTAATTTTTGTTAAAAATACATGTTATAAATATTATATATTTATCTATCATAGACATTTTTTAAA